CAACAAAAGTCTGAGAGCTGCAAAACATGAATAAATTTTACACACACATTTTTATTGGAAAATATGCAAATTTGCTTTTTGTTAACATTAAACAAGACTGCCAGAAATAAAAACAAAAGGGGTAAAACCAGATATTGATAATGATATTTAGGGCGCGTTCAGATGGGCCATTTGAGCCAGTATACGTGCCGGTTAAGCGATCATACAGCCAACATCTGCCTCCCATCCCTAGCTGTTGCCAACCGGCTGAAACCCCCTTTAAACCGGAGTATTTTGCTACCAGGTCCCCAAGTGGTGCTCTCCTGTGTGATCGCTCCCCCAGTGTTGAGCCACTTCCACTCGGAAGCCCGAGGCTTCCGCTTTTTGTCCGCCATTTTATTTTAGCATCGGCGATATGCACTTGGGCGAAGCTTTGCCCCGGCATTAATAAAACGAATTAAAAAACGGTGATTAGTTTTAGGCTTTAGACGAGTCCGGGACCTCACGGAGGCCAGTTTCGTTGTAAAAGTTTAAAGGGAAGTGTTCGCTTCAGGGCATGCTTTTGGCGTGAAGATTTCAATTATATGGATGGGTGCCTATGCGCATGTGCAAACAGTGGGGGGGAAACCACCGACGCGCACTGTTGCGTGCCTGTAGTGTGGACACCCGGGAGCAATGTGCTGCGCAGTGAGGGAGGTAAGTGTGATCGCACTTGTCCCGGATCAAATATAATCCGATTGGAACCGGAGCAGTTTAAACCACTTCGGCACGCCGTCTGACCGCACACCCTTAAAGAGACAAATGCTTTCTCCAAGCTGGTGGGGGGTGGCTTTGAGAACTCATTTAAAATTAAAGTTGCTTTCTTTCTCTGCTCCCCCCTCCCACACACACACCTCCAGCTTACCCAGGGAGGGGAACACTGGCTAGAGAAGAGAAGACCAGTCGGAGAGGCATGCCTGCCCTTCACTTCCCTAGCTACCCTGCCAGGAGCCGCACAATATGTGTGAAAGAGCCGTGTGTGGCTCCTGAGCTGCAGTTTGGCCACCCCTGCACTAGAACAAAATTTGAGTCCAGGGGCACCTTTAAGACCAATAAAGTTTAATTCTGGGTATTAGCATCAGGAGAAGACCCTGATGCTGGGAAAGATTGAAGGTCAAAGAAGACCGGGACTGCAAAGGATGAGATGGTTAGACAGTGTCATAGATGCAACAAACATGAAGTTGAGCAAACCTCAGAGGACGGCGGAAGACCGGAAGGCCTGGCGTGATCTGGTCCATGGGGTCGCGAAGAGTCGGACTCGACTGTGCGACTGAACAACAAAAATTAGCTTCCGTGTGATTGCACACTTCTTCAGATACACTGAAACAGATTTCCTCAAGCCTCACATATAGGTATGGGGGTTTAGTTGCCAGGAAGGGCTAGTAAAGAGTCAAGATGCATAAGTTACTGGGCAATAAGTCAAGCTGAGATTGGATGAATGCAAGCTATAGTTTCCTAACTAGGTTCAGACTGCTGTTTACCAGTCTAAGGCAGTTCTGCGGATCCCCCAGAATTACAGTTTATCTCCAGAGTACAGAGATCAGTTCCCTTGGAGAAAATGGATGCTTGGAGGGTGGACTCTGTAGCATTGCACAAACACACACACCCAGGTCCCTGTCATCCTCAGGCTCCATCCCCAAATCTTCAGGAGTTTTCTAACTGAAATCTGGTTTAAGAGTTTACAAAGAGCTGATGAAGAGTTTAAAAATAGGACACACCACCCTCATAACATCACCTTGGTTTGATACAAATAAGAACAGGAACTGGTGAGTTGAAATGAAGACTGCAAACAGTGAATTAAGAACTGACCATTGGCGTACATGTCGAATATGTCTTAAGAATAGCAGTTTCAAAACCAAAATGCTTGCGTCTCTTTTCAATCCAAATATTTACTGAGGAACTTGCAGTCAACAACAGCCCTTTTCAGAGGTTTTGTCCACGCACATTGGAAGCACGTACTACCTGCTCCTGATACACATGGATACCATGTTGTCTGAAAAGGGACAACATGCATATTTTGCATATGCATACTGCTTTGTTTGCAGAAGTACAGGCTGGGTTTCGAAGAGGTAGAGGAACTAGAGATCAAATTGCCAACATTCGCTGGATTATGGAGAAAGCAAGAGAGTACCAGAAAAACATCAACTTCTGCTTCATTGACTATGCTAAAGCCTTTGACTGTGTGGATCACAAAAAACTATGGCAGGTCCTTAAAGAGATGGGAGTACCAGACCACCTCACATATCTCTTGAGAAATCTGTATAAGGGTCAAGAAGCAACAGTTAGAACCGGATATGGAACAACTGATTGGTTTAGCATAGGAAAAGGAGTACGACAAGGATGTATATTGTCACCTTGCTTATTTAATATACATGCAGAGTACATCATGCGAAAGGCTGGCCTGGATGAATCACAAGCAAGATCATGGCATCCGGCCCCATCACTCCTTGGCAAATAGAAGGGGAAGCTGTGGAAGTAGTGACAGACTTCACGTTCCTGGGATCCCAGATCACCGCAGACTGTGACTGCAGCCATGAAATTAAAAGACGCCTGCTCCTTGGGAGGAAAGCGATGGCGAACCTAAACAGCATGATAAAAAGTAGAGACATCACCCTGCCAACAAAAGTCCGCATGGTCAAAGCAATGGTATTCCCAGTAGTCATGTATGGCTCCAAGAGTTGGACTATGAGGAAGGCCAAGCGCCGAAGAATAGATTCTTTTGAACAATGTTGCTGGAGAAGACTCTTGAGAGTCCCTTGGGCTGCAAGAAGATCAAATCAGTCGATCCTAAAAGAAATCAACCCTGACTGTTCCCTCGAAGGCCAGATAATGAAACTGAAGTTCAAATACTTTGGCCACCAAATGAGAAGGGAGCACTCATTGGAGAAGACCCTGATGCTGGGAAAGATTGAAGGTCAAAGAAGACGGGGACGGAAAAGGATGAGATGGTTGGACAGGGTCATAGATGCAACGAACATGAAATTGAGCAAACTTCAGAGGACGGCGGAAGACAGGAAGGCCTGGCAGGATCTGGTCCATGGGGTCGCGAAGAGTCGGACTCGACTGTGCGACGACTGAACAACAACTGCTTTGTTTTACACAGATCATGAGAGGAAGGGTTGCTTCAGTGCTTAGTTCTTGTGGCCCTTTCTTACACGCCTAGGGAAATGCTGATCACCACTTTGGGGTCAGGAAGCAATTTTTCTCCAGGCCAGTTTGGCCAGGGATCCTGGAGTTTTTTGTCATCTTCTGGCCATGGAACAGTGGTCAGTGGGGGCGTGGGGTGGGAGGTATTTGTGAATTTCCTGCATTGTGCAGGGTGTCGGACTAGATTACTCTGGAGGTCCCTTCCAACGCTATGATTCCACACAAACCAGAAACCCAGCAGTTGGTTTGCATGTACCAAAGCATGCAGAATATGGATGTCACCGCTGTTTAAATGGGGTGACACGGCATACTGGAAGGATCTACACATGGCGTGTAGGCATAGAAGTGATGTCTGGCAACAGCTGCTGTTTACAGGTTCAATTCCCGCACAGGTGCAATTAGCAAGCAACTTCCAAGAACTGAGCTGATGCACAGAACACACCACACGTAGGGTCACGGGGAAAAAAGATCACTCTGCCCTTGGAAGGTTTTGCAAGTTATGAGACATGTCAGGCACAAGACTTCAGTTTCTGCTGCCAAGTTTTGCTTCCTAGTGAATGCAGCCTGGTTTCTATTTCTGTCAGGTTTTAAAGCATCATGACAAAGTTTGAAACTGACAGGACTTAAGGGGAAGGTTCAAAACTTCAGCAGGAGCCTCCAACAGCCAGTCGACAGCCTTCCCCAGGCGCCACACACTTGGTTATTAACTAATATATTCTCGGACCGCAGATCACCCTCTCCTTTCAGCTCTCTGGTTGTTTTCCCACAGACGTGATCTCTGTATAGTTCTCACTGCAACAGAACATCCACACAGTAGTTCCCCCCACACCTCCCTTGCTCCAGCCCCCACTGCCACCACCTTCTCCCTTACTCACCATAGGGCTTGGAAAAAAATAAATCAGGAACTGCTAGACTGTTACGCTACAGCTGCAACCTACTAGTTCCTAACTTTTGTTTTTGTTAAAAGTAAGCCTCTTGCCCTTTTCATTGCGGAGTTATAAAAGGATATGTGCAGTCTGTACCTTTCCCCTCACAACTCTGCAATAAAAAGAGACTCATTTTTTAAAAATTAAACCTGGGAACTAGTTGATCTTGGCAACAGCTCATTCTAATGCTACAGCAGTTTAGTGATTCCAATTCTTTTTTTTAAAGCACCCTGAAAAATTTTTCTGGTTTGTTTGCATGGGGGGGGGGAGGCAGCTGCAAGGGCCAAGGTGAGGGCAATTGTGCCGATGCGTGGGTGGGACCTACAGAATGATAAATCTTCCCATCCACATAGCGTTCGAAGGCACTTTGACTACAGTCTTTCCAAAAAGATCATATCAAATCAAGCAGAGAGGGGAAACCGTGGCCCCACAAGAAACAGGATGAATACAGGATGCCACATGGATGCTCCCCCAAACAGAGTTGCTTTAAGGAAGCCAAGCGAGGGTGAAACATCCTCAGGGGAAAAGCCTCGGTAGAATTTCAACATACTTTTAAGTCCATCCTTCTGCAGTGAAATATGACACCTGACACAGCCAAGGTACACAGTGGAAAAACAGGCAGGAGATAAAACAACACGTCCAGTAAGAGAACCCAGACTACTCATCCATGAACCATCCACGCTGAATCATAAACATTTTTGCAGCCTGATAAAGCCATCTGAAACGGGTAGAGCCAAAGGTGAGAAAAATGCATTAAGGTGTAACTGTTCTTGGATAATGAGCTAGAGGTAAACATGCAAACATGTGAGTCATCTCAGAGACGACACCAAAGAGGAAATGCGGCAGATTAACCCATCCTTGGGAAGCTACCTTTCCTGTGGCAAAAATGCCCAGGATCCTCCCAAACCACTGAAACCTCTTTCCACATAGTCCACATACAGGCTTGCTCAATCAAGCTTCCTTCCTTTCCTTTCAGAAACACCAGCCTTGCTTAGAACAACTGCCTTGCGTTCCACTTGCAAGGTGGGTAGTTCGCACACTGCTCTTTTGCTGTAGCCACAGAACACCAAGAAGTAACCACAAGTATGGGCAGCAGTATCCCAGGCAAGCCTGTACAGTGAGCTGGTGCAACTGGAAGACTGTGTATAACAACATCAGCAGAATGTGTTTTTGTAGGAGCGTATCTGTAGAACAGTTGTGGGGGGATGGCACAAAACATCTTCTAAAAACAGATGTTACACATTTACTTGCTTTCAGGTGGGGTAGCCATAGTGGTCCGAAGCAACAGAACAAAGTCCGAGTCCAGTGGCACCTTTAAGACAAACAAAGTTTAACCCCAGGTATTTAACTTTGTTGGTCTTAAAGGTGCCGCTGAACTCAAACTTTGTTCTTTTTACTTGTTTTGGGATACAGACATCTCCCCTGTCTGTATCTGGCCCCGCTGTTTGGGGTTTTTTGATCCACACCCCTTTGTTCTTTTTACTTGTTTTGGGATACCGATATCTCCCCTGTCTGTATCTGGCCCCACTGTTTTGGGTTTTTTGATCCACACCCTGGGGGCTGGGTTAAGAATTAGACGCAAGATTATGCAGCACTCTCTGAGACTTGCCTGTTAGTTGCCGATGCTCTTTTGCTTTGCCTAGCTCCATTCTGGAACCCGGAAGTCTTCAAGGGCTCATTTCAGGCTTGAAGCAGGCCAGATCCAATGTTTATAGCAGAACATTGTCTTATTTTTCAGTGGACCTGGAGGAGAAGAAAAGCTAAACCCTCTAACTACAACCATTTATTTCGTGTGAAAAGATGTAATGAGAAAATATGCACCCTGTGGCTGGAGAGGCACATCGCTTGTACCCAAGGGTGAGAGAGTTGGGCAAAAGGTACGCCTATAAAAAGCCCTGCTGGACCACACCAACAGTCCAGGCGGCATCCAGTTTCCTAGAGTGACCAACCAGACACCCTTGAAGGGCCAAGAAGCAGAGCATTCAGAGGTACATACTGGCTACGAAACAAAAGAATTCCATTTAGCTGTCGCAGTTAACAGCCATCAATGGATCTGTTCTTCCAGAATGACCGCTCTTAGCCCTTTCGCAGGGATGGCGGAATATAATGAATGAATGAATGAATAAGTACTTTCAAAGTCATTGAGGGGCTACTGCTCAGTGGCAGAGCATCTGCTTGGCATACAGAAGGTCCCAAGTTCAGTCCTTCACGTCTTCTGTTTAAAGGGACCAGATAGGAGGTGACGTGAAAGACTTCTGCCTGAGACCCTGGAGAGCCATCGCCAGTCTGAGTGGACAATACTGACCTTTGATGCACCAGTGGTCTGATTCGGTATAAGGCAGCGCCATATGTGTCCGTGCGTTCATTTAACCTAGCAACCATCGCCACACTCCTGTGGCAGTGAGTCCCAAACATTAATGACATGTAACATTGAAGGATAATTCTCTCTGTCCTGAATTGACTTGCCCACCAACTTCACTGGGTGCCCCAACTGCTAAAATCACGGGAAGGTTCGGGGCCTAGGACTCCATATGCAGTTTTTCAGATTGAGCACAGTGATATTGCTTCATTGAATGGGATGCTAGAAAAGTAGGGTTGCCAGCTCTGGGTTGGGAAATACCTGGAGATTTTGGGGGTGGAGTTGGAGGAGGGCGAGGCTGGGAAGAGGAGGGGAGGGAGCTCAGCAGGGTAGAGTGCTGTAAAGTGGCCACTGAATCCAGGTAGGGTTGCCAGCCCTCAGGTCCAGGCA